TGCTTAAGAGTGTGACCCCCCCTTGTAATTGGAGAACACCCTCCGGTCCCCCTTTTTAAACAGGGGGACCACCACCCCAGTCTGCCAATCCAGGGGGACTGCCCCCAATGTCCATGCGATATTGCAGAGTTGTAAACTTAAAATTAAGATTCTAAAAAAATAAATAAAAAGGTCGAATTTTACAGGTTCCAATAAGGTAAGATATGACAGAACTCATGCCCTTTATTTACAAACCTGGTTGAGAAATCTGGACCAACAACAAGTATTTTCCTGGTTCTCCTAATTACTATGGTTTATATGATTGTTAGAATAGAGCAGAATAAAACAACCCAAATTCTAAAATCAGCCAATAATAATAATAATAATAATAATAATAATAATAAATGATTTTAAAAAATGGTATTCCTTGTACTATTCATCCACCTCCTTGCATGCAAATGTTTTAAAGTCAGATCTTGTGTGCTCAGATGAAGTATAGGAGGTATGGGATGAAGCTGCCACTTAAAATAAGACAGAAAATTTGAAGGTTTTAAAGGTTGGCCTTAAAAGTTATTTAGTTGAAGACTAGTGATTAATTTCTGAGAGTTTCACAAAAATTATTTTATTGGTTAACAAGATATTTTACTAACAAACACCTGCATACAGACAAACACAGGCATCTAAAGGATTGTTTGTCTTTTACGACTGTGTCACAATACTTTTTTGTTTGTTTGTTTGTTTTATTTGTGAAATGCGGCTTTAAGGTTTTGCTGCAAATAGGAGTAAGATCTGGGTGAAAGTTGAATCCGGTTCAGTTAGATAAGTTACGAGTCATCACTGAGGGGGTTGGGATCAAAGTCCATGGTTACCGTGATGAAATACTTTATGTGGGTTATACTGGGTATTCAAAGTTTGCCATTTCTTTCACTACAATAACAGAGTGGAGTAAGCACTTGATTTGTGAACATAAAAACAAGACTGTTTACTCTTTTTGCTAAGTTATTAAAAAAAGGCATTTTAGTTTATGTAGTGTACAAAGGGATTATTACTCACATTGTGCACTGAATGCACAAAATTAAAAGTATGAAACAGGAAAATATCACATCACGCAATGCTTGGCATAACTTTGGTATAGACTCTGAACTCATGACAAATCATATCAATAAACAGAGGGTTTGTCATTTTACTATGGAGCAAATGGTCACTGTCGGACATTGATTATAACTCAGGCAAGCAACATCAAAGGAAACAATCAATCGTTTGTAAAAAGAATTACAAAGGTTACTATGTCAGTGACAGATGGGAAACATTCTAATTTAAATCATTTTATAAGCCTGTTAATGGCAGTTATCAGTTTAAGCCACACAGACATGCATCTTTTTCCCACTTTGTTTGACTTTATGCTAATAGCAGCTACAGTACATCCGAATGGTCAACAACAAAACTTGAATTTGAGAGATGGATCTCTCCGGTGGTCCTCTTTGGGGGGTGGGTGGGCGGCCCTTCCGGCGCGGGTGTCCCTAGGGGCTGCGTGCTTGGGGTCCCTCTCGGGGTCTTTGGCACTGATCTCCCTTATGTCGGCTTCCGGCTTTGCGGGTCGCATCTGTGGTCCCCCCACACTCACTTTGAAACATTCCACCGGAGAGATCCATGCATGCTCACAACTGCACACAATCAGGTTTTTACATCCTGGGTCTTCTATTCGGGCACTGACGGAAGGATATGTGCATATGTGTATGTGTATGTATGTGTGCATGTATGTATATGGGCATGTATATGTATGGGTATGTATGTGTGTATGTATGTATATGTAGGTATGTATGTTTATGTATGTATGTGTATGTATATGTATGCGTATGTGTGTGTATGTATGTGTGTGTGTATGTATATATATATATATATATATATATATATATATATATATGTATATGTATATATGTTTGTATGTATGTATATGTGTATATGTATGTGTATGTACGTATGTATGTATGTATGTATATATGTATGTATGTGTATATATTGTATGTGTATATATGTATATGTATGTGTATGTATGTATATGTGTATAAATGTGTGTATGTATGTATATGTGTATGTATGTATGTATGTGTGTATGTGTATATGTATATATGTATGTGTATATGGATGGATGGATGTATGTGTATATGTGTTTATGTATGTATGTATATGTATATATATGTATATGTATACATTTATATATATATGTTTATGTGTGCGTGTATGTATGCGTATGTATACAGTATATATACTGTATGTATATATATGAAAGTGTTTGGATATGTAGGTAAGGGTATGTTTGTGTATATGTTTATATATGTAAATGGGTATGGTTTTCAGCAAGGCTTAAGTCATTATAATTACATAGTTATGCATTTTTGTTGCTGTGGTTTTGCTATCTTTGTTTTGTAGGTGTGGAGCCGAGAAGTCCGGTGTGCTGTCTTGTGTTTTCTCAACATATATTTTACATATCTTCTAATCTCTTTTTCACTCTCTCATTGCATTTCACTTTTTTCTTCTTTTTCTCCTTTTATTAAAAAAAATACATAATAATAGTGTGGAGAGGATGGCTATAGGGGGAGAAGGGAGGCCATCAAAAAAAAAAAAAAAGAGAGATGGATCTGTAGAATCGTATTTAAAATTATTCAGGCTTTCAGAAAATATGCAATTTTTTTTAAACTTTTGTAACTTTTTCTCCTAAACTTTTCTTTAGTTCTTTCATTGGACTGTGACACCATATAATGCAGTTTGTGCTTAAAAAATGTGAAAGTTGACAAATAGAAGATTTAAAAGAAGTGTCAGGCTTAAAACAACAACTACTGATGGCAGAACTGAAAATTGGGCCAATAAGAAAAAAGCTAAATAAATCAAGCAAAAACCTGAAAAAAGAAAAAAAAGGACAAAAGGTCTTTAACACTCCTGTATATATTGTTTAAAATCACCTTTAAGGATTACAAAGAAAAAAATGCTTCTTGGAATCAAATTCTAAAGAAATGAGGGATAACTCAAGACTTTGCACAGAGCTGATGTTTTCTAAACTTGACCACAAGTCATGGGTGCTTACGATCAGTCTCAGCTGCGCTCTCCTTTTTACAGGAAATAGGCAGAAAATGTTTTTAACTACTACATGGATCATCAGCATGTTTATGTGAAATTGCAGCAGCTTGCACAATACTGTATGAGAGAAGGGTTGCACTTGTGAATTTCAAAATAAATTCAGCTGCTGTTGCAACACTGTGCTCATTAAAGCAAAACAGCACTGACGCCCATCAGAAGCCAAATCAATAAGCGGTATCACGGTAGGATTGAGAAGAACAAACAGAGTAATGTGATCTCGCAGCACCAGGTGAGCCCTCTTTTTCTTCCCACTGCTTTCATTTGAGTGCTCCCTCCACTGTCACTGTCACCTAACCTCTCTGGCCTTATAAATCATTCAGCGACCAACTAAAAGTTATGCAGGCAAGCTCACCTGAGACATGGTCACGTGGGCAGTCCAGAGGAGAGAAATTTGGTAATAGAGTACTCACACGAAACATCACTTTTCTTTTTGACCATGGCTATGGATGGTGGATGAAGAATTACAAATGCCTGAGAACAAAACAGATCTATAAGTGAGTGCGTTAGAAATGCTGCAGACATGTAGATCTATGTGGTTTTGGTGTCTGTGGTGGATCTTTACTACACTACTGCTCAGTAAGGCTCAAGAAAATCCACCAAGCCAGCCAGGTAAGCTTTCCCCGATTGGGTGCTAATGAGTGTAACAAAACAAATCTTTATTATTTGGGCTGTCAGACTGTACTGTATGTTTTGCTCTTATAGGTTTTTATTGGCCTCTGGGTAGCCTCAGTCCTGTCCCCTGTCCCAAAGGGACATACGGGCCGACCGTTGGCGCAGTGTCCATAGAAAGCTGTTTAAAGTGTCCTCCTCACCACTACTGCCCCAGACCTGGCTTGTTTGCCCCACTGACCTGTGGTCCTGTTGCTCAGCAACCTCTATCTGGCCAGGATACCTGCAGCTGCCCAGGAGAGGGGCAGAGTTTTCAGGTGCTGTTCACATGTTTGGTATTGAAGTGTTTTTAAAGGAGACAAATCATGCTTTTAAATCCTTCTTTTTCACATTTAAATCATTCAGTTTGGGTCTCTATAAAGTAGCTGCAATGCTTTGGTCTGAATTCCTCCTTATTTAAAGTCGACAAGACCCTCTTTCAACCCTTTTCTGATGTGTGTTTCAGACCAACTCATTTTGATGCTTCAAATCCAATCAATGCACTTTACACCCCGCCCCATCCAGAGTGGCCCATTCTAGTTAGATAGGGGGTTTATGGCTATATAGCAGCGCAGAAGCATTTTATTTACAAATTAATTAAAAGATGTAAAAAAAGAAAGACTTGTCCATCCAGCCTTACATGTTGATATTTGATTTAGAGCCAGAGGAGAATTAAGATAACAAAACCATAGATAAATCCAGACTTTATAAAGAAGTTCTGTTTCAAATACTGTGATGTAACAGTTTATAAAATGTTATCGATATTAGAGAAAACTGAATGGGTTGAAAAATATGACCCAAACAGAATACAAAAAATATCTACGCAGAGATTAAATTAAACTTTTCTGCACTCCTAGAGACAAGTATAAAACAAAATGCACTTAACAACTAAAAAAAGTGGATTTTGCATGCCATGTCCACTTTAATGTGGTAGAAGTCAAGCTGTTTCTGCAAGAGTGCATTCATTTGAAGCTGTATATCATGTTTCTCTTTCTCCTTTCTCATTTAGGAAGCTTATGATTTCTTCATCTGTGCCCATGAGGCCCTGGGATGCTGTTTGTTGCAATTGCAGTTAGAAGGATAGTTCACTCACTGCTTTTTTTTAGATACTTGAAACTAAGCAATCTGTAGCTTCAAGCTGAAAGAGCTCTAGATCGAGTTACTTTACAACAGGATCTGGTTTCCCAGGCTGCTGCTGTGGTGGCATAGGTCTTCACTCYTCAGATCAGAATAAAGGGAATGAGATTTTTTGTCTCTGGTTGTTACGTGAAAACCACTAATGCAGGAAGAAGGAGACAGTAAAGTGCAATGAATGCGCTCAACCCGATTTAGCATTAACAATATTCTGTTAATTTATCTTTCTCCGTAGAGCAGTGACGGGCGCTGCCTCTGTACTCTAGGCTATCAACCCACCAGTAACGGAGAGTTGTGTGTGCAGCATCTGTACGGCGTCTGCAGAGACGGCAAGTCCCGCACGCAGTACGGAGACTGCTTCAACAAACAGCAGTGGTCGTTTCACTGCAGTCATGAGGTTAGGCCTTGTACTTGTGATATAGGCGCCTGTCACTCGGCCAAAGTCACATGAAAGCAGGACAAAGGTAACCGGTCTATCTTTTATAAAATGACACTAGACAGGAAGCTCATCCTGTTAAGATAGGACCCAACTGCAATCTGTTTATGGAGCACATTGAGTAAACACGCTCTACAACTACTGAGTACGACCTGGATGTCTTTGCCCTTTATTCCACGAACCTGACGAGGCTTTATCTGCACAGGCCTAATCAGGTCTACTTAATGTTTAACCATAAACGGCTTCCTGTGACTTTTGCTCTGTAATGACTTTAGAATTAATTGGAGATGTTGATTAAAGAGCTTAAAGCTGCCTGTTGTGTTTTATTTATTTTTTTCTACAGGTGTGCTCAAGTGCAGAGGACTACCATGGTTATGACAGGGAGCTGGGTGTGTGTGTTTGCAGAGGGCCTCCAGGCAGAGCTGCATGCGGAGGGCTGTGCAGGAGAAAACTGGAGCATGGCCTCCAGCTTCAGTGCAGTTCTGATGGAGACGTGGAAATGAAGTGGAGCCACGAGGTGATCACAAAACATTCTGAAGAATTGGGAGCACTCAGGTGCAATACAATGGTCTACARTCTGACTTAAAATTAAGCCTCAAACACTTTTAAGCTTGCAGAAAAGAAGTCCACTTGTTTTGTTTTAGAACTTTTTTTGGATAAGCCTAAAAGAGTTGCTGTGTGAAGACTATTAGTCATGTTTTACATATTCTTAAATTGTGAGTCTCACATTTTTACGCCTCTACAGTGTTTTCTGTAGGAGATACGACAAGTTAAAAAAACAGCTTCACTAGAATTGAAGTCATGACACAGAAGCTTCTATAGAGCTAAGTCTATAGAAGCTTCTGTGTGCACTATTTGCACTCTGAGGGGATTTGAGAAAAAAGCTGTAAGCTCAAGCTATACCCTTGCAGATTTGCTGAGGTGGTCATAGGAGTTTTCCTCTTCAGTCTGCATGTGTTTTGTGGACCTGGAGAAGGCTTACGACTGTGGACCTCAAGGCTTTCTGATGGGAGTGCTACTGGTCCCTGTGTAGCCAAAGCTGGAGCTGTGTCTGCATTCTCAGCACAAGTCGAGCTGGACTCTGCCACTGCCGTCTCTTGTCTCCAATCAAATCACACGTTTTGATGTATAATTTGGAAATGCACTAAAAAGATGCGGGACTAATAAAAATTAGTTTGCTTCTCGGAAATTTTCTATGGCTCAAAGTCAGTGTGTGACATCATCATCTGTCAGATGAATGATCTGGGGAAAAATCTCCAAAGATCATCAGAGCTCATAAAAGGACTGGATTTCCTCACTTGTTGATCCACGTTGAATGACCCTTAATTAACAAGTCTCCTGAAAGAAAAACACAATCTCTTTTTTAAAAGTTATCAACATATGAGACCAACCAAATCCCTGAAGCAATTTTGCTTAATTGGCACGTATCAGTATTATATTCCCATAAAAACTGTCACCAAACAACAATGCCCAATTAGATAATGCACACCTTCACACAATGGCCATCTTTATTTCCCTTGCTGCAAAGACCACACAAGTGTCTATTGTGTCGCTGTGACCTACTAATGTCAAGCTGTTGTTGTGTGTTCCGAGCAGTGGAGCCTCTCAGGCAGTGTGCTGGAAGCACTTTTTAAAAAGTGGGACTCACAGGGGAGCCTGCAGTGCAGCGGCTATCGTAAATCCTCACGTCCTGTCTACATTGTTCAGACAACAGGTGGGAATACTTGCGCACGTTGGGGACTTTTATTTGACCAGATTATGATTTCTTTGCGGGGCCCTTGTCACATTCACTTTAACTGTGGGATTGCAGAGGGAGGATTCCTTGGCCTCCTCAGCGGCCTCCCAAAGGAAATTCAGCAGCTGTTTGAGGGGGACTCCCAGAGCTCAGCGGGTTTGTCCCAACAGTAAACTAACAAAAAAATATGCATGAAAATGTTTTAGTCGTGAAAATGAAAGTATTAATGACTTGTCCTCTATTGGTAATTTGCAGATAAGGATTCTGAATTATTTGACGTGGATACTGGTGTGGGAAACATCAGTCATGAAATGAGAGAATTTGGTTTCACGGAGTGGAGAAAGGATGACAGAAATGTTCTGGAGTTGAGTGTTTCTGGAGTTTTGAACCCAACAACATGTCTCCATCTGGGTGATGTTTTACTGTTCATTGTCAACACACATCATTACCCACTGTACGATCTGTAAGTTTTATTTTTTCTCTTGAAGAATTCTTCTTTAAATCAATATTTTGATCATTTTAATCATTTATTTTTTGCCATTTTTTAACCTTCTTCTCGTGTGTTTCAGTAACAACTTGTACAACACAAACACTGACTTTGACTGGGGTGCGTTCAGACTTTTAAAAGAAGAGCTGACACTGTCTTGGACTCCTCCTGTCTTCTTTTCTGTGGTCTTTAGCCAACCTGGAGTGTATGTTTTCACTCTGAGCAGCAATCAGCACAGACACTTGGTAACTCATTTTAAACATAGGCAGTAAAGCTATACTGTAAAATCACTATTAAATTCCAGATCAGACAAAAAGCTGTGCAAATGTAGGATAAAAACGTAATCCTAAACTAACAAAAAACAATGTGAGTTGACTAATAAACAATAGGAAATGTACTATAAATATACAGGGAGCTGAGAAACAAGTGCTCTGATTACATTATTCCTTCAGGGCAGGTGTAAAAAGAGACAAGAAGGAAAGACTGATCCTAAAAAACAAACAACCCCAAAACAAAACAAGAAGAGAAGGTTACAACAGAACAATGGGGATAAAAAAACAAGGAAAGAACAAAATGTGAAATTGAACCTAAAAGTTTATTAGATGTGCCAAAAACTGAATCAAAAATGCATTATTAAAATTTCTTTAAACTTTTAATTTCATTGTATTTTACATAGAAATACTACTGCATTTGCGTTTCTTTTTGTTACTGCTGTGTTTAAAGCAAACACACACAGAGAACTTTGCTTTCGTGACTTATTAACCACTTGCTCAAAGGTTTTTCTGTCGTTTTCCGTGTAAATGAAAAAAAATTGAAATGTAGCCAGTTTGCAAAACTGGCAACCTATCTATACAACAAAARAGTTTCAGGCCTGAGGGCTGATCAAACCAACTTCRAGTTTTCTACAAATGGCTGACAAAATGTGTACAAATAAATCTGACAGTATAAAATATGAGTTGTTATACTTGAAGATGTGTATTACAATATTTGTAACTGTACTCACACACACACACACACACACACACACACACACACACACACACACACACACACACACACACATATGAAGAAAAACACGATTACTTATTGAACATATTTTAAAATCACGTTCATTTGAATGAAGTAAACTGTATCTTTCATGTATGGTGCATTACTACAAGTTTTTTAATTTTTTTTATTTTAATCTCAGTACGTAAGAGTGATGCCTGCAGGAGGCCAGTGTTATGAGCCCGGTCCTTTTTTCCCTACCACCCCTCGTCACCTGACCAGGATGGGGATCAGAAGAAGACGTGACCTGTTACTTCAGCCTGACTGGTTGGTGACTGGAGGACTGTTGACTGGAGCTGTGGTCATTCTCTGTTTAAGCGTTACAGTGCTGGTTAGTTCTTCAGACACATGCTGCCATCAGATATTTTCAACATTAGTTGGGTGTTGTTCAAATTAAAACTCCTGTCCTCATGCAGATCCTGTTCCGGGAATACGGATGGCCGGAGAAGGAGCCAATCAAAGCGAAATATCGCTCGTTGCAGTTGGCGTATCAAATGGATGACTACTCATCAAAAGGCTCCAGGGTGATCTCGCTTCAAAAGATCCATCGAAAGCATCAAGCTGGAGTGACGCACGACTCCATTCAGCCAGGTGGAATGACTGCAAACTCCTCACACATGCATAACTCTCATTCATCATAAACACGTGAGCCAGTGTGTTGCACAACTTACATTCAAAGGTGATTTCGCACCAAACCAATGAATCTACGTAGAATCTGTACAAATGCCACATGTTGGATAAACACAACTGAACTTAAAGACTCTTGTTGCTTCTAATGCAACATTGACATGACCTTAGGGTGGTGTTCCTACGTCACAGGTCTGATAGCACGTGCAGAGACTAACACACACACACACACACACACACACACACACAC